TTTCAGGTTCATCTTCATAAGCATGGTTTCTTTTCAGTTTGATTGTTTAGATGGTCCTTATTGAAAAACAATTGATTTTTCCGAATGCCCTTCCATTTGATTTGTCTTAAAAATAAATAAATAAAATATATATTTTACATTGACTCCTTATTTATATTATATTTCTTTATTTGCTACAATTTATGCTGTGAAATTAACATAAACAGAGTAATTAATCAAATTGCACAAACAAGTAATTACAAGAAAACGAATAATATATAAAAAATATACAATTACTACAAAGTTCCAATAAATAATATTACAGAGAATTAATGAATTAATTAAGAAAGAAAATGGTTGTCATGGATGTATACAAAACTTGCTAATATACAAAATTAGATTAGAATATTTACAGTACATTAGAAAAAAGTAAAATTAATAATTAATTTTCTGCAAAATAATAATTACACACAGATAATTCCATTACCCTCACAGCCAGTGCGAAATCAATACAAATAAGTATTTTTAGAGACATTCGAGTAATTACATACTTATGTATAAATGCCCACTAGGTAATAATGCCCTTATTGTTTAATGGTACAAAATTTAAAAAGATACAACACAAAGTAAAATGTTTGAAAGGAGTTAGAAAACATAAAATTTAAAATACTTTTTTTCTGTTTCTTAAAATTAATTAATATTCCATTATGTACTTAAACAAATATTGGAATATTGAAGCACACTTTGCAATAATTTAGCGTAGACATAAAATGACATGATACTTTTAAGAAAATTGAACTGATGAAAATAAAAATAAAATCTGAAGAAAATCAACAAATACACATATGCAGCATAAACCACACTGTTCATCAAAAGCATACATTCAAATTAACACAATTATGCGATCAATTAATAAAATTAACAGAGTGGAATAAACAACGGCGTATTTAACTACATCGCATCTAACGAGTAAATTTAATCTCATGATACATGTTATACTAATTAGACGATGGCTTTGCAGAAAAACATTCTGGAGTTTCGTAGTCCAAATATCACCCCATTTATTATGGCAAAACTGTACTTAAGTCCTAAAGTATGTATCAAAAACGGCACGAAATTTTGCAATTGCAACTTTTCAAAATTCCTTATCAAACTTAGGAAGTACAATTAATTGTGTATCCTCCATTTCTAAAATAGTTTTTCTATTTACCTTAATGACCGAAAATTAATAAAATTACGATGTCGATTTTACTTTCAGTCTTGTAGCTTTTCGGATTTAATATTTTCAAGGGATTAAAAATTAAACTATCTATAAATTGTGGCAATTATCTGAAGTCGGAATTATACTTTGACAGCATACTTCATTAGTATCTTCCCACGCTCAAATGATGTTGGAAATTTGGTAAAAACAGTATAAACTTAGGCTGAATCACTTTAAAATCAATTGGAAATAAAACCTTTTTCAATTATACCATTAAGTACATTCTATAAACAAATACAATAGCATCTTTTGTGGAATTCGCCTGCTCTTATAAAATTCAGACTAGATTAAAATGATAATATTGTATAAACGGGGGTAATTATAATTCTCCTACCTACTGAGAATTAACTCATTAATCTATACGAAGTAAGTTATGCGAGTATGTATAAAAACAACATTAAAATTTCCAATTATCTAAAACATCAACAAGCAAAAAATGCAAATAGCCATTTCGCCATTCCGGCGCGCTTAGCTCTAACAATTTCCTATGCAGTACTCGAACTGTGTGATGCGCCACTTATTGCACTAAAAAGTGCCATACTATTCCTCTTAAAACTACCCGTCTCTTCATGAGGCCATAACGACTCTCCAAACAGACATGACAGCGATGAGCAAAGTTTCTTGTAATTTTGTCGCAAAACCTCTTGGTACTCTTGCTGATCGCTTGTGATTAATTTGCTGTTTATTTGCAAGGCTGAGTAACAAATTTTTACGAACTCTCTGCAAAAATTAGTATTACTTTTCCACCAACTTTAAAATAAAAAACAAATCTGAGCGGAATTAGGGCTGTCAATGGTTGTGATTCAAAAACCGTTTCGCTTCTAGTTAGAATATTTTTCAAGGTAGGCTTTTAAAAAGCTTGTTTGTTATCATCATAATTATAGGAAGAAAAAGAACCTATATTAACATAAAAATTAAGTGCAACTAAAATACTGTACTTTACTATTTCTAAGTGGTTTTAAAACTCTCTGTAATATGGCAATGATTACACGAGCAAACTAAAGAACAAATGACTTCCTTAAATTTAAAGAAAATGTATTGGTGTGGTCCTTTGTTGAAAATATTTAGTTCACTTACCTGTAAATGTCTTTCAGTTCTTCAACTTTTTCCTCCGAGTACATGGTGCTTAAGGCTGGGTCGAGGAATACCGAGGCATACGCCAAAGGACCTGCGTTAACTTGGACGCATACACTGCCCTGAAGCAGCAGTTGCAACTTTTTTACATCTGGCGGCTTAGAAAAGACGACATCTTCAAGCTCAGAGACCCGATTTTGCATTTCGTCAATGGCAACTTCAATCGGACTCAGTTCAACTGTTCGCTTCGATTTTATAGGAATGCGTTTCTTCACATACGGAAATGAATACTCGGCTAAAATTAATTTGGCACATAACATATAATTTTATAAATACGAGCACAAGTCGTAATTAATTTGGAAAAGTCCTTACTTAGCAAAATAGTTCTCCTTTTCCATTGTACTTCAGGAGACCCATGTGCTTTACCTTCTCTGGTAAAAGGCGTTTCAAACATAAAACAATTGATGTCGTGATTTTGTTCAAATTCTGTTTGTCTATCTTCCAGTTCAGCTTTCTCAAAATACGGCGTAACGTGAGTCACTTGAATGTACGCGAATTTTTGATCCAGTTCGTTTTGTATAATCTAAAAAAGTTTACAATTACAAATGTAATGAAAGAACAAATTAAATTAACGACTAAAATAACAATGTTAATCACATTTTTAAAATTACTTACCGGAACTGAGTCCTGAATCATCTTTACAACTTCCTGGCCGAACTTTTCGGTATATTGCTTGAATAATCTTTCTGATATTTCACTTAACGATGTCACTTTTGGTTCTTTATAAACGTATTCGATGCCGCTCTCATCTTCGAAGTATGCCTGACCATAAAAAGCTACTCTGTAGAACCGACCAAGAAGTCTTCTACCTGATTTGTTGACTTCCACAACTTTGGAGTAATTCTGAGCTAGACTTTCGTAACATTGTTTCAGTAATTCGTAATTCCTTTTCTTTTCATAAACTGGTACAATCAATTTGTATAATTCTCCTAAGAAACGTTAAATTTAAAATAAAAACACATTAAATAAAGAAAAATTATTTTTTTAAATTTGCCCTCAAGACAAAGGCAATGTGGTTATTTATAATATAAAAATTAAGAAGTACAAACCTAGGATTTCGTATCTTTCAGCCTTCTGTATGAACTCTGCACATGTTTCTAATTGTTCCAAAAGTAAAAACTCAGTGTACTGCACATCCTGCACACCAGTGTCTAACTTTAAACCTCGTTCATCTTTCACGATATTGGATGATATTTTTTCGAAAAATTCTGCTCCCCAATTTTGAACATTTTTCAACTTCAAATATTCTGCCATCAGTGCTGCTATATGTAATTGACAACATGCTGCCTATGAGATAAAATACAATAAAATAAGTATTATTTGTGTTTGTTTAAAAGAAGTTCCATACAAAAAAAATAAACTGTACTGTATTAAACATTTTATTGAATTTTAAATTTTCAGAGTACGTATTGAAAAATAGTTTACCTCTGAGTAATTTCCATCCCTAACGTGGTTTCGAGTCATCGTCTCTAACCAGGTGTGCCTCAATTCAGGTGTTGACGCATACGAATTCGCTAAACTGTGTTGTAAATCTACCAGCATCTCGGGATCGTGGTGATGTTCGCGCATTTGAGCTGTCGCCATAAGCACTGTTCTTATACGTTTCGTCAAATCTTTTACTTCAATAGGAAATCCTGTTCAAATAATTCACATTTACCATATATAAATTTTAAAATAAAATTAAGATAAGAAATAATATTCTATGGCTAAAATATCAAAAGTACTTTTTGAGAAAAAAAAACAATATTTAACAAGACAATAGAAGAAAAAAGTTACCTGTCCCTTTCATAGCTTTATCGCTTGAAGCGTAGCTGTTGATCAATGATAAGCTTTCCTGAAATCTTGAATTGTTTAAGCCGATGACGTTGCCCAGCATTTGGGAGACGGAAATAATAACTTGTAAGTGGACCCTTGTTAAGGCTTTTCGACCAGTGAACTCGAAATTGCTTCTCATTAACAAGTACAGTATTGCGCAAGCTTCCTGCCTTACGCATGATAAACGGCTATTGCAACAACGTAACAATTCGTAACATAATTTGCCGCACATAAGAGCACTTCCTGAAACATTTATTAATTAGATTAATCTATTTCAAAAGATTATGAATCGATCTAATTCTGATTATCCAACATCATGTTTTAAATCAAATAAAGTTAAATTACTACCAATGATCCAATCGTTTTAGAGTATTAAAACTAATTTCGTTTAGATTTAAGCTTGCTATTAGATACATGTATTAGGGATGATCATAAAAGAAAGACAATATATTTGCATGATTATACTGACCTTTAAATAAAACAATCGAATAATTGTTAATGAAAGCTCTTAGAGAGGCGAAAACGTGTTTAAAAACAGATTCGCTCTGCCCAATTTGCATAAATGCCAAATAAATGTCGAAGATCTTTTTCATTACGTTATTATCGCCTTCGTTAGTTAAAATGCTCGTTCTAAAATGCATACAGTAAAGACCTAAATTATCTAATACAATTAAACCCACTTCGTTCGTCATGTTTTGCTCCATTATTGCTTGCTCTCTCTTATAATTTTCATTTTCTACAACAAAAAAAAACCTATTTCAAATTAACTACTATAACAAGCTTATCGTTATTATAAAATGCAATCTATAAAAGTTTTTTTCCAAGAATTGACTGAAAAATAAAATAAATAACAGCAAAAAAGTCAAAATAACTGCAATATATTATTCTGTTCATTAAAAATACTAGTAATCGTCGAATTATGTTACATATTACATACCTGAGTTAACCAAATTCTCGCGATTAACCGTGTGAATGATGAGAGTGCCACTAGTTTCGTGATTAAAATCAGGTGGGTTCATTCTGGCGGGTAAAGTATGGGCCTTTGCGGGTTTATTCTTTACTACATCTTGGACACTTTGTTTAACCACAACTATATTCTTCTTTCCGTTATATTTGAAACAATGCAGGGACATTTCGAGCACACAAAAAAAATTGACTACATCGGAGTCGGCACACTGCTGCCACCAAGAGATCAAACATTCTTCGCCAACATATTTCACCACAAACAAAAAACAAAGAAGCACATCTTTCACCTCGGTCGGCTGAAGTTTGTCGTAACGTTGAAGATGGGGACTGGCCGTGCTCAAGCCCCGATGATGAGACTTGGCTTCGCCGTTTCTTAAGCTTTCGTCTCGAGGTTCGCGAATTATTGTTGTCTCCAAAGACGTTATGGATAGCGCATCTCCAGAAATATCCGATTCAAGGCTCATAGAACTGTTTCCATTTACCACAGCTGATTAATAATAAAAAAAAAAGAATGTTATATCAACTAAATATTTAACTGAAATTAAAACACTTACATTGTCCAGCGATGGCATCGAAAAATACAGAATTCCTCAAATGCATGGGGCTGTCTTTTTCCAAGTGAAGGGTAAACCTATAACTTTTGGGCTGATCGCTGGTAGTAGAACTTTTGCCAAATAAGTACGAACTACTAGTAGACAATCTATTTGCTATCGTGCTACTGTTTCCATCATCCTGTTTATCTATCGCATATAACCGACTTAGGTTTTCGAGTACTATGCTCAGCCAAGGGATGTAAATAAGGGCAATACGACTCATTTTGCCCTTGTTCCGATATCTGTCGTCGAACTCATGTTTTGCCATGAGATCTCGAAGTGTAGTTAGTGCCATTTTTCGCACATGTTGTACTTCATTCAAAGAAGTTCGCACTTCTAATAGGAGCAAACCAACTATAAAATGGTGTTTGCAAAACTCATTTGATAGACTGTACTCTTGGAGATAATCAGGTGAACGATTTTTTGGACTGAGACGAGTGTGCTGAATAGGCAAGTTAAATGCAACGTAATGCTCGTGATTACAGACGATCTCAAGAAACGTGAATTTGTACTCCTGAAGTACTCTCGGGTCACTCGGATTGAACTTGTCGAAATAAATGTTGATCAGACCGAATACAAAACCACGGTCCATCAATGACAAACATTTCTGTGAGAAGAACAAATTAATTTAATAAATTAATGCATAAACGCTCAATAAGTATTTTTTTACCTTCAGAAAATGAGCTAAACTTCTGTTCAATTCAGCAGTCTCTATTGCCATTTCTTTATGTTTATTAATGATGTATGGTATCAGCACTTCAAGTAACGATTCGATTCTTTGCAAGTATTCGAGTGGAAATCTTTCATTCCTATGCATCTAAAAGAAATAATATAATGAAAGGACCTTTAAAAGCATAGTTTCCACGAAAGGTATAACGCATTATATTTAGAGAGGTTCGTAATAAAACTTTTCTCAGAAATAGGAAAATAACTAAACAATAAACATACAAATAATTTTCTTACCTTTATTCTCCCTGTACTAAGTAAGTGTTGTGCCATGCCCTTGATCATAATATCAAAGAAAAAATTTGCATGATGCATAAATTTGTTAACGACTAAAAAATCGGTATTGTTTGGATGCAAAATTGTGGGCAAATGTTTAACCATTTCCTCATGTACGGTCGTTTGTTTTTTACTCTCCGGCTGAACGAACACGTACTTAACATAGGTCTGAAGGATCTCCTTGCGTCCTGAATCGTAGACCATATTGACAAGATTGATTAGGACACGCATAACATTCAGACAGATTTCTTCGTTATTTGTAACAACGAGAAGCGTGAGTAAGTGGTTAAGTAGCGTTGGCAGAAACGTAATTAGAGTTGTCAGCTGGATCGCATGTAGAGCCTTGATGATTTTACACGTTTCGTTCTCGTTGGGTAACGCAGTCGGTTTTGGATCAAGTAAACGTTCTGAATGGGAGAATAAGTTGAACAAGTGCTGATCCCTAGTGTTGACTGTTGAAGCAAGATTGAACGATACTGTGAATAACGGCCTTTGGGCATCAACCCATGTAATTTCTGGCCCGGCATTCTTAAAAACAAATACATTTTCCACAATATGCGCATAAGAAGTCATCAGCGCAAATTAATTTTATACGAAAATAAATTTAAAAAAGTTGGTTAGATTATGTTAATTGTAATCTTTTGGACTTACGCCTTTGCCTAGACCGAAGGGATGTATTGACAAGTAACCGGCTGGCAGGTGCATAGCAACGGGAATACTTTGTGTATCCAGATTTAGTTTTCCTTTCTGGAGAAGCGGAAGCCACGCGTAACCAATACAGTTTTCGACACCGTTATCGCGCTTCTTTGAAATATCACAGGAAATATGGTAAAAGGTAAACAACAAATGGTGAGAGGGGTTCAGGTTGATTGGCAATTTGACCTTTATCTCCTCATACCACATTGGCACCGTATTGTGGTGTAATACTGCACAAGACACTTGAGCCACTAAAGGTTTCTGACCTGGGCGCCCATAAATACACTGGAAAAGTGGATAAGAACGTAAAAGATAGTAATTTTAATACAAGCAATTCATATTTTATATTTATTATATGAATATTAAAAACAGAACAAAAGTTGTTAAAAGTTCATCTACAAATATGAACAGTTCATGTTTATTATTCAATACATATTTGAATCACAAAGCACTATAAATATAAGGAGAACTCAAATAGGTATTACCATTTTCTTGTAGTTTGTTTATCACAAATGCAAAGAAAAATATAACTTCGTTTGATTTTAATTTTATAAACATTTCAAACCNTAATGTGTAGCTTATGTGTACAACAAGAAAAATTAAAATATATAAGAACATTTCTTTTGAGTAAAATTACTTATCTTTTCCCATTCAAGTAAAATGGCGTTTTTTTTGAGTTTTTATGTTCCTTTGAAACAAGAAACGTAACTAGTAGTATAAGTTTAAAACAATTCAATAATTGTATTGTTTTCAAATTAAGGAATAGTGAATAAAAAAGGTAAAGATGAAATAAATCTTACTTGCCAAGTGCTTTGTATTTTTCCCGAAAGGTTTGGAGAAACATTTCATCAGTTTCGAGATCTCGCACTTTCGCTAATTCTTCAGATATAATAAGGCCAGACTTCTTATATTTAAACTTTCCTTCGTAAAGATCGAGGGCACTCTTGTAATTATTTACTAAACTTTTTACCATATATGGGCCTTCAAGTTCATATCCAAATTTTCTGTAGTAATTTCGCGTTCCCACACCTGAGATGACAGCAATTTTTGTAGATCTGTGTTCTTTAATTGCAATCCGTTCTGCCTGTTCCATTAAGAGGGCTCCGTAGCCTTGGTGCTGAAATTTTTGTGGATCTCGTTCGTGAACAGCAACTACACTACCATAAACATGTAATTCTCTAATTATGGAGCAGTTCCCTTTAAGCTCAGCTCGAAAGGTGGTTTCAGGAGCACACTTTCTTAATCTAAAAAACATCCAATTATAAAATAAATTGGCTATCTTTTAAATAATACTTTCTCACCTCAATAAGCCCACAAGTATATCCAGCTCAGGATCTTCATAGCTTAAAAAACTCTCCCATCCACCATTTGCACTATAATCTCTTCTTACATACTCAATATGATTAGGCCTTACTTTTGAGTGAATTTCAGCAATTCCAACTTCTCTTGTTCTTACATCTCTACATTTAAGCCCCAAATCTTTCATTCTTGCAAGTGCCAGCTCCCTTAAGTTTCCATGTTCGACTCCCGAGCTGTAAAAAATTATCAATGCATGTAGTAACAGAAATCTTTTAGTGCTGAACTTATACTTGCCTTACTAAGGGCATAGGTATATCACGTTGGACTCGATAAACCCTACACCAAGGAGGTATTAAAGAAAGAATTTTTGCAATCAAGTCTACTAATACTGAGGGAGGGTAGCTTTTGTAACGACCGGTCTTCCACAATTCGTACAAACCGGTACCGCGTATAACTAGGGTAGGATAGATTTTCATTCCATCAGGTCGAAAATTTGGATTTTCAAAAAGTTCCTGAAACAAGCGTGTACATTCATTTATTGTATTCACAAATTAAACTTCTTTATTTACAACAAACTGTTCAATGTCTCTTTCTATGTCAACATTTGGGAGATTTGGCATCATATGGGTTACTACTTTAAAACCGCAATCTTTTGAAAATTTAAAGGTGTCAATAACTGACTTAACAGTGTGCCCCCGATTCGTATCTCTGGCTACATCTTCATAAACAGACTGAAGACCTACAAATAACGATTTTAAAAAATAAAACTACATTTAGTGAATATTCTTTACCAATTTCTAATCTTGTACATCCATAATCAAGCATATCTGTTAAATGTTTAGGAGTACAGTAGTCAGGCCGTGTCTCAATGGTAATACCAATGCATTTAACATTAGATCGCTCAGAGTATTTAACAGATTCTTCAACGTTTTCACTTTTATGACCAGAAAGCGCATCATGCAAATTTTTAATAAAATAATCACGGTAATCTTCAGAAAGGCTCATAAATGTCCCTCCCATTATAATAAACTCAACTTTATCTACACTATGGCCCAATTGCTTTAGCTGATCCACCCTATGTCTTGTTTGAAGATATGGATCATATCTAGCCCTAATTGCTCTCATTGAAGTTGGTTCATACCCTGTATAACTTTGTGTTGAATATTCAAAATCAGAATCTGGTCCTCCTGGACAATATACACAAATATTTCCAGTCATATTAATGTGAGGACAACGATGTGGTTTACACATGACTGCTACAACAGCTATCTATAAAGATGAGAATGAAAGGAATTTGTTAAAATTTGGAGACAAACACAATCATACTCCACTTGCTGTTCTAATAGGTTTTGCTAATAACTTTGGAACCAAGACTTTCTTATAGTTACTAGGGACAGCTGCTATAATATCAACAAGTCGATGTGAATTTTGCAAACCATATTTTGATGCTATTCGTGTTTTTAATGAATTTAAATTAACGTCCTTCTTTTCTTCATGTGCTTTAATCAGTAACTGCACTATCTCGGCAACAGAAATAACTTTCTTCTCTTCTACTGTGAGATGATCAAATTCTGCAATAAAATAAAAGACTAAATATGAAACGCGATATTAATAGAAAGTAATATACCTCTACATTTTGATTTTCCCATAATTGTAGTAAATATTAGCCAGTTTAAATACAATTATAATATTAAAATATATGCATTTTAATTAAAAATTAACTAATTTTGGTTATTTGATTCTATGATGTCTTAACCTCTATTTGTAGGTTAATTTTGCGTATATGCAACCCATAAAACGCGTGTACACTGCATATTGTCTATAAACAGTAACTGTAGGGGTGCTCTGCAGTAACAGTCTTTTTAAGACAATAATCCTCGAGAAAGTATTCTAACTTCACAATAAACATATGCTTCATCAGGAGTTTACTGTAAATAATTTCAGGTTCATCTTCATAAGCATGGTTTCTTTTCAGTTTGATTGTTTAGATGGTCCTTATTGAAAAACAATTGATTTTTCCGAATGCCCTTCCATTTGATTTGTCTTAAAAATAAATAAATAAAATATATATTTGGTAATACTCAATCTCCTCCATTTACCGGTTCTCCGCCAAATACACAGGCACCCGTAGTTACGTCTGCACCAGGCCCAGCTCCTGTTACTAGCCAGGCACCCTATCAAGCGCCCTACCCTTCAAGTACGCAACCTTCAAATATTTCACCAGCCGCGTATTCGGCACCGAATCAATCATATCCTCCTGCACCTACGCCTAGTAATTACGGTTATGGGGCACAATCCGGATATCCACCTCAACCCCATTATGGAGGTCAACCTCAAGGCTATCAGTATCCGAGACCGCCAGCCGGACAAGGGCCTCCCCCTCAAGGTCAATACGGTTACAATTATCCGCCACAACCGAACCCGCAGTAAACGATTTCATGAATGTTTGTTTTTGCTTGAATTACATTTTGATTATATGGACTGATCAGTTATTGAATATATAATATCAATTTAGACCTTTTTTTATTACTTTTATGGAATGATTACGTAGCTATTACTAGTTTTAATTTGAAAGTTAATCTGTAAGTCATGTACGTTTGATGAAATCTTTGATGTTTAAATGTTGTCTAAAAATGAGAATTTGATAAATTTTATCACTAAGGTAGTCAATTTAATGTGTAGCTTATGTGTACAACAAGAAAAATTAAAATATATAAGAACATTTCTTTTGAGTAAAATTACTTATCTTTTCCCATTCAAGTAAAATGGCGTTTTTTTTGAGTTTTTATGTTCCTTTGAAACAAGAAACGTAACTAGTAGTATAAGTTTAAAACAATTCAATAATTGTATTGTTTTCAAATTAAGGAATAGTGAATAAAAAAGGTAAAGATGAAATAAATCTTACTTGCCAAGTGCTTTGTATTTTTCCCGAAAGGTTTGGAGAAACATTTCATCAGTTTCGAGATCTCGCACTTTCGCTAATTCTTCAGATATAATAAGGCCAGACTTCTTATATTTAAACTTTCCTTCGTAAAGATCGAGGGCACTCTTGTAATTATTTACTAAACTTTTTACCATATATGGGCCTTCAAGTTCATATCCAAATTTTCTGTAGTAATTTCGCGTTCCCACACCTGAGATGACAGCAATTTTTGTAGATCTGTGTTCTTTAATTGCAATCCGTTCTGCCTGTTCCATTAAGAGGGCTCCGTAGCCTTGGTGCTGAAATTTTTGTGGATCTCGTTCGTGAACAGCAACTACACTACCATAAACATGTAATTCTCTAATTATGGAGCAGTTCCCTTTAAGCTCAGCTCGAAAGGTGGTTTCAGGAGCACACTTTCTTAATCTAAAAAACATCCAATTATAAAATAAATTGGCTATCTTTTAAATAATACTTTCTCACCTCAATAAGCCCACAAGTATATCCAGCTCAGGATCTTCATAGCTTAAAAAACTCTCCCATCCACCATTTGCACTATAATCTCTTCTTACATACTCAATATGATTAGGCCTTACTTTTGAGTGAATTTCAGCAATTCCAACTTCTCTTGTTCTTACATCTCTACATTTAAGCCCCAAATCTTTCATTCTTGCAAGTGCCAGCTCCCTTAAGTTTCCATGTTCGACTCCCGAGCTGTAAAAAATTATCAATGCATGTAGTAACAGAAATCTTTTAGTGCTGAACTTATACTTGCCTTACTAAGGGCATAGGTATATCACGTTGGACTCGATAAACCCTACACCAAGGAGGTATTAAAGAAAGAATTTTTGCAATCAAGTCTACTAATACTGAGGGAGGGTAGCTTTTGTAACGACCGGTCTTCCACAATTCGTACAAACCGGTACCGCGTATAACTAGGGTAGGATAGATTTTCATTCCATCAGGTCGAAAATTTGGATTTTCAAAAAGTTCCTGAAACAAGCGTGTACATTCATTTATTGTATTCACAAATTAAACTTCTTTATTTACAACAAACTGTTCAATGTCTCTTTCTATGTCAACATTTGGGAGATTTGGCATCATATGGGTTACTACTTTAAAACCGCAATCTTTTGAAAATTTAAAGGTGTCAATAACTGACTTAACAGTGTGCCCCCGATTCGTATCTCTGGCTACATCTTCATAAACAGACTGAAGACCTACAAATAACGATTTTAAAAAATAAAACTACATTTAGTGAATATTCTTTACCAATTTCTAATCTTGTACATCCATAATCAAGCATATCTGTTAAATGTTTAGGAGTACAGTAGTCAGGCCGTGTCTCAATGGTAATACCAATGCATTTAACATTAGATCGCTCAGAGTATTTAACAGATTCTTCAACGTTTTCACTTTTATGACCAGAAAGCGCATCATGCAAATTTTTAATAAAATAATCACGGTAATCTTCAGAAAGGCTCATAAATGTCCCTCCCATTATAATAAACTCAACTTTATCTACACTATGGCCCAATTGCTTTAGCTGATCCACCCTATGTCTTGTTTGAAGATATGGATCATATCTAGCCCTAATTGCTCTCATTGAAGTTGGTTCATACCCTGTATAACTTTGTGTTGAATATTCAAAATCAGAATCTGGTCCTCCTGGACAATATACACAAATATTTCCAGTCATATTAATGTGAGGACAACGATGTGGTTTACACATGACTGCTACAACAGCTATCTATAAAGATGAGAATGAAAGGAATTATTCTGGCCAACC